CACTGATTATACACAGTTTAATAAGAGAGAGAGAGGAAAGAGGAGCGATGCCGCCGAGCTGGGAGGGTGAACGGTGAAGCACAAGCTTCCTCTGAGACCATCTGAGAAGATCCACCGCATCTTTTAGAACTGCCGCTAATACAACATCCCTGGACAGCTCAACACGCTTGGAGGAGAACACTAACTGCTATTTCTGTTACGTCAGCTAAAGCCGGGCAAACAGTGTAGGATTTCAGAAATTCACACTCGCACGTTTGAATAGACCAGGGTTTGGCAACATGCAGCTCTTTTACTGCCCTGTTGTGGCTCCAGAGCAGAATTAGATTTGTGGGTAAAAACAAAATAATCCTCCTTTGCAGTAAAATAAAGCTCTGCTGATCATTCAATACAGTTTTAACAATAAATGGTCTAACAAACACTAAACAGTCGCAAAGCTGAAGTCGCTTCTCATTCACCAGCTTCTTATTTGAATTATCCCGTTCTATCTTAAATGGTGCAGCAGTTACATTCTAGTGCCTCAGGCACCATTTAAGGTGGAACGGGAAAATCAAACAAGAAGCTGGAGAATGAGAAGCGACTTCAACCTCATGAAAAGTCGAATGTTGAGAGACATTTTACAAGAAACTATTCCGTTTTTGTTTCCTGCCGGAGATGCGAGAAAAGCGGCTATAGCTATGCTAAAGTTTAAAGCAGAATATTGTATTTTAGCCTATACTAGTACATCAGCACATACTGAGACATATTTACAGTCAAGATGGTAAAATGGACATAAAGTGTGATCCCAAGGTGCTTTGATTTTTGTCGAAAGGACAAAATGGCTCTTTTTAATATTTGGGTTGCGACCCCTGGGATACACCATCGTGAATGGACAAAACGATGTATATGCAAATGCTCAGAGCAATTTATATGACATGTCTATGGACAATTTCCAACAAATCTGTTTCATTCAAAACAACATGCTGCACGTCTGAGTACTGAGCATAATTACTAACGTGATTTACAAATAGCCATTTGGGATTCAGCCACGTGCGCTGGACAAATAATACACAGTTTAGGTGCAGAAGCTAGGATTTCATAACTTTGCATAGCACACTGTACGAAAACAGGGAACCATTTGAGATTCAGCCACTGACAAACTGAGCTACAGCAGCTTTGCTAACTTGTGCCACACTATGTACTAAAACTAAAAGCAGGCTGTGATGCCTGTGTGGTGTCCAAGAGAAGGGCTTGGCTCGCCGTCCCCTACCCACTCGCAGTTCTCTTTTCCCCGCCATCCTCGCAGGGCTTCATCCTCGCTTCAGGGTTCAGGCTCTACCTTCCTGCTGGCTCTCGCGGTCATCATCCAAGCCCGGGAATGGTGGCATGCCACAAATGGCAAGGCAATCATTCTTAGCTCATATCATGCAGGTTTCTCCTGTAAAACATCCGGAGGATTTGACCCTTTCTCACTCAAGAGGCCACCCAGTTCAGTGCTAGTTCAGGCTCGTCATCTGAAGGTTTGACTACTTCAACTCGCTCTTGGCTGGTCTTCCTATGTGACCATCAAGCCACTGCAACTCATCCAGAATGCAGCAGCACGGCTCGTCTTCAATCTCCCTAAGTTCAGTCACGTCACTCCACTGCTGCGCTCCCTTCACTGGCTTCCTGTAGCTGCACCCATCAGATTTAAAACTCTGGTGCCTACAAAGCCAAAAACGGACCAGCCCCTCCCGACTTGATGGCAAAGGTCAAAACTCAAACTGTACCTCGAGCCCTTCGAGCTTCGAGTACAGCTCGGCTTGACCCGCCATCCTTAAAGATGAGTGGAAGACAAGCATCAAGACTTTTCTCTGTACTGGCACCCAGGTGGTGGAACGAACTCCCACTGGCTGTCCAAACAGCAGAGTCTCTCACTGTCTTCAAACACAGACTGAAGATGCATCCCTTTATACAGCACTTAAGTGAGCACTGAGTTAAGTATTCATTGTAATGTATTGTACTGTACTTATTGAAATGTTTTGTATTGCGCCGTGTTTAACTCTGTTTCTTTTCTCTAGGTACCAACATCGGCTTTTGTTTCTAGCAGTATCTGAGCTCAGGACGAGCTTTACTCTAATCTATTTACACCTAACAAAGATTCCTTCTCCGAGTAGACAAAGCACTTTTTGTAAGTGGCTCTGGATAAGAGTGTCTGCTAAATGCTGTAAATATAAATGTAAATGCAATGCCCGCATTCTCCAGCGTGGCCTCTTCCACACACTTAGCATTATGGGGCCAGTCATGGAGGTTGGAGAACCAGCCTTGTGACCGGAAGGTCGCCTGTTCGATCCCCTGAGCTGACAGTACGTGACTGAAGTGCCCTTGATCAAGGCACCTAACCCCCAGGGCTCCCAGGGCGCTGCGGATAGGGCTGTCCACCGCTCCGGTCAAGTGTGCTCACTGCCCCCTAGTGTGCGTGCGTTCACTAATGTGTATGTGGTGTTACACTGCACAGATGGGGTAAATGCGGAGGTGAAATTTCTCCCGTTGTGGGACTAATAAGGGTCACTTAATCGAATTAATCTTAATCTTACTCAATTTCTGACACGTCAAAAAAAACCATCAGATCACCCGACTGCTCAGTCAGAGCTCATTTGGGCAGTTAAGTGGGCATCACTACTCTCCTCACACTGCACAGCAAATGATGAAGCCGAAATTTAGAAATGACCTTAAAACAGGCTTAAAATCTGCAGAGTATGCCTGATGTATCAGACACACACCCTAGAATCATGCCGAGTGACGGGGGGAGAGTAATGTCCAGTTTGGGGCAAACATCTGCCCATTCTGACTGTGCCTCAACAGTGACAATACTTTGACTCAGGTCTGAGTTCTAGTTGCTATACACGCCTCTGTAACAAAAGCTCCTCGGTCGTTTTTATATTGTAGCCTCAAATTAAAGGTTGTAGGAATTGAATAGCCTTCTTAAGTGCTGTCACCATAGAAGAGCTTTGAAGTGAGTAAATCAGTAATGGTTTAAAGATGTTGCCCTCTGGCAGCGGTTTCTGCTGCGTGGGTGACCTGGTGTGGAATGCGCAAACACACCCTGCTGAAGCCCGACACTGTTTTTAATCAGCGAGGGGAGAGCATGTGACGGGGTGATGGAAGGAAAGAGTGCAAACTGTAATGAGAAAAGCCCTGATAAGGGCAAAATACATAAACAGAAATACTGAAATGTTTCATTGTTCGATATTAGAAATACAGCAGTCCATCTTGTAGTGAAGCGTTTATGGGAACTTTACTGGAAGACCTTGATGTGAATGCGAGATTTAATTCCAAGTCATTTTTGGAGTATTTCTATTGTTCTATTTATCCATTTAGTCACACAGTAAGCCTCTTTCATGTCAATCAATCAATCAATCAATCAAGCAATCAGTCGAGGGTGATTCTTCTATTTTTGCTAATTTGTCACATTTAGGTGTTTCAGATCATCCAACTAATTTTAATGTAAGATTAGGACAACATGAGTAAACCCAAAATGCAGCTTTGTTTCTGATAACTTGCGATGTGTCTTCTGCATCGCTGTGGAGACATTTTGACCCACACTTCTTTGCAGAATTTGTTTTAATTCAGCTGCTTTGGGGGGTTTTCGAGCATGAACTGACCATTTAAGGTCTTGCCACAGCATCTCAATGGGATTCCAGTCAGGACTTTGACTCAGCCTCTCCAAAACCTTAATTTTGTTTCTTTAGAGCCGTTCAGTGGTGGACTTGCTTGTGTGCTTCAGATCATTGTCCTGCTGCATAACTCAACTACGCCTGAGCTTTAGGTCACAAACTGACGGGCAGACATTCTCCTTCAGGATTTTAGTACAGAGAAGCAGAATTCATGCGTTCATTAATTATGACAAGTCGTCCAGGTCCTGTAGAAGCAAAGCAGCCCCAGAGCGTCTCACTACCACCATGTTTGACAGTTGGTACGATGTTCTTATGGTGGTATGCGATGTTAGCTTTATGCCATATATGATATATATAATATTATATAACATATATAATGGGACGCGTCTTCCAAAAAGTTCCACTCTTGATTCATCAGTCCAGAAATGGGGGTCTTGGTGGTCATCTAAATGATTTTTGGCAAAGGCGAGACGAGCCTTTGTGTTCTTTTTGGTCAGCAGTGGTTTCCACCTTGCAACTCTCCCACGGATGCCATTTTTGCCCAGTGTCTTTCTTAGTGTGGAATCGTGTACATCGACTTTAACTGAGGCAAGTGAGACCTGAAGTTCTTTAGATGTTCATCTGGGTTCTTTTGTGACCTCCTGGATGAAGCATGGTAAGACTGATGGGCTTGGGACTTGGACTCATTCAGAGCATGCATTGGTTGGAATTTTTGAGTGGACACTGGTTAGATTCATCCAGAGCTGGCACTGGCTGGCTCCATTCAAAGCAGACTTTGGTTGGATTCACTCCAAGAAAGTCTCAATAAATAGAACATTTGTGTTTGTAAGTAGAAGAGGAGATATTTTAATACGATTTGAATCTAATGGAGTTAACTTTGTTCACACAGTTTTGTTTGGTAGAAAGAAAATCCTTCTGTTATATTTTTCAGTAGTTCGTAGTGGAAGGAGATAAAAATGAATTAAGGCCTGGTGTTGAAGGTGATTTGATTTTTTAGGTTTTGCCTCGATTCTGCCTCACTTTCATTTGGACTCAGTCTTGACTCTGTCTCGACTGGTCATGGTCTTGAACTTGTATTGCACTCTACAGAGGTGGTCCTGAGTACAGCCCTAGTACATAGCCTGTGCTTTATGTGTGCTGTGTATACGTTCATTTGAAAAAGTATTTAAATATTCCAGTGGAGTTAATCAGATATTCAAAAAAGCATGGGCAGTTTGGAATATAAAAATGAAATATTGAAATATTGTGCCCCTTTTATTGTGCCTTACTTTCCTATTTTGTCATGGAAACTTTTCACGAGTGATGTGGATTTTCTTGCTGAGTGAGCTGAGTTTACACCTTCCAGTTGGAGTGAGATATGACTGAATCAGATATGACTGAGTGCTCTTCAACCCCAGGGGACGAAAAAGAAAAAACTGAAATGACACCGAGAGGAAAAGACGGCAGTAATGTACCGAGCTGAAAACACTAAACGTAAAAAGCAGCACCACTTTTCACACGGTGTAAAAATATGAACTGAAAAATACAGCCACACAGCTGAGATATGAGGTTATAAGGTCCAAAACTTTCCACCAGTCAGACTGATACACTAACACCACAGACCCTGCTCCCCCACCCCCACCCCCACCCCGTCTCTGTGGAAACTGCAGTCTCCAGGTACATTTCCTGTTTCCAGTGACCCCTGACCCCATGCCACGCGACCTCTCCGAACACACACAGTCTGCTCTTCCTGACACGCACACACACACACACACACACACACACACACACACACACACACGCACACCTACGCCCTCATCCTGACGCAAACACACACACTGAACCACAGCAGGGTGGAGGGCCATCAAAGAAACTTCCTCTAAAGAAAATAACATAAATCACACTATACACACACACACACACACACACACACACATACACACACACACACACACACACACACACACAGACACACACACACACGCACACACACACACACACACCCACACACACACACTACATACACACACACACTACATACACACACACACACACACACACCCATCACTGAGGGACTGTGTGTGTGTCCTGTGTCTTGGCTGAGTGTTTGTTGTGTTTAAATGTTTTTTTATTGGCTTTACGTTTTAGTTGCAGCTGTAGTTTAGTGTCAGAAGGGACAGGAGTGTGTAAAGACTGAGTTTACCATGGAAATCACCATCATATAACAGAGTAAATAGGTGCAGCGTAACAAAGGTAATGATGTAGTATAATGAAGGTAATGGGTGTAGAATAACCACTGAAATGGGAGTAACATAACAATAGATAAGGGTTGCAACTTAACCATGGAAATTAGTGTAATGTAACCATTGAAATGGGTGTAATGTTACCATAGAAACGGGTGTAGTGTAACCATCAAAGTGGGTGTAGTGTAACCATGGAAACAGATGTAATGTAACCATGGAAATGGGTATAGCGTAACCATGGAAACGGATGTAATGTGACCACGGAAATGGGTGGAGTGTAATCATGGACACAGATGTAGTGTAACCACAGAAATAAATGTAGTGTAACCATGGAAATGGGTGTAGTGCAACCATGGAAACAGATGTAGGGTAACAACTGAAATAGGTGTTGTGTAACCATGGAAATAAATGAAGTGTAACCATTGAAATAGATGTAGTGTAACTATGGAAATAAATGTAGTGTAACCATGGAAATGGGTGTAGCATAACCATTGAAACGGATGTAGCGTAACCAATGAAATGGGTGTGATGGAACCATGGAAACAGATGTAATAACCACAGAAATGGGTGTAGCGTAATGATGGAAACAGATGTGGTGTAACCACAGAAATGGGTGTAATGTAACCATGGAAACGTATACTACGTCTACTGTCCTATTTTTGGATTTCCACCCAAACCCCAACCTTGAAACTCCAAAAGAACTGGGGACCAAAACTGGACTAAGGCTAAGTTCACATTACAAGCTTCATTGCTCGATGATTCACATTCGAGTGTGTAAGTCATTAATGTGAGTGAACCTGTGTCCTGAAATAACCTGCGTGTGCACATCATAATCAACAACGAACTAACCAGCAGAACAGGCCTTCATCCTGACGATAATCTGCTCTGATCTGCTCTCAGCTGTTCATGATTAGAGCGAAGCCAAGGTGAAAAAGGGTCAGATGCTTTCACACCGTTTACTGGCACTAACTTCAGGCTCAGCGCTGCTGCCACGTTAACCCTGAATGATGGAGCATGTGCAGCAACAAACTCATGCATTCTGATCTCAGTGTTCTCAAGGTCGCATGGACTGTTGGAGATTTGTATCTGATCGAGGAGCACAGGTGAAAGGCTAATTCACATTACAAGCCTCATTGCTCAAATCTGACTTTTTGCTGAGATCTGATCTCTCTGACACGATGGTTCACACCCGTTTAGGTAAGTGATTCAAATCTGTCATTAATGTGACGAACCGGCGTCCTGAAATGACCCTCATGAGCTCATCCTACTCAGTAACGTCATGTGAATGAATCACGAGCATCATCAGCACAAACTAATGAGCAGAACGAGCTTCGCTGTGAAGATCATTAACACTGATCAGCTCTCAGCTTCATTATTAGAACGAGACGAAGGAGAAAAAGGTGAGAGGAGCTGCTTTTCCACCGTTTACAGGCTTTAGCTTCTGTTCAGCGCTGCTGCCATGGTAACGCTGAATGATGGTGCAGTGGAAAAAAAGCACATGAATTCCGATATGAGCGTCACATTAAGGTCACATGGCCACGAATCGGAAATGTATCCAACATAGGACCACATATGAAAGTGACTCAGGTCGGATTTGAAAAAATCAGATTTGTGTCCACACAGCTCTGAAAACATCAGATCTGAGTCACATTAAGGCAAAAAATCAGATTTGTGCCACTTCAGCCTGATAATATGAGCATGGCCAAAGGATCTCAGGTCGGATTTCAAAAGATCAGATTTGTGTCCACACAGCTCTGAAAAATCAGATCTGAGTCACATTAAGGCAAAAAATCAGATTTGTGCCACTTCAGCCTGGTAATATGAACACTGCCTAATAGTGGGGGGTGCCGGTCCCTCTCAACCTCAGTGCAAATCTATGCCTGTATGTGTGTTACCTGTGTATAGAGCTGTTCTGGACTGAGGGAGTTGATCCAACGTGTGTATCGCTCTGTGGAACCCTCTGGAACACGACGCACCTGACAACCAACAATCTGACACACAAAGACACACACATACACACACACACACACACACACACACATACACACACACACACACAGCAAGAATATTATTTGCTGCATTTAACATCTAAAGAAAAAAATGAAACATATTAAATATTCCAGAATCTTTGTACATTTGATTTTCTCAATATGTTCATTTCAGCAAATAAACAGTAATTATGAATTCAAATGTGCAGGAGTGTGTTCTCTGTAGAGGACGTGCTTATGTTCAATTAGAAAAATCAATACAACATGTCATTTGACCATAGATGGTCACCTTACACTATATTTTACAATGAAATAAAGGTTCTGTTTAGGTACATTTCTCATTCATCAAGGTACAAACAATGCAAATGTTCCCTCAAAGCTCCAACAGTGGTTTTAAGGTCTGATTGTGAACCTTAAATAAGTGTTTCCAGGTGAAAAGTTCGTATTTGTACCTTTTCATAACCGAATGTTTTAAAACAGAACAGTAAAATAAAAGCCTGGAGACGAGACGGGGTGTGTGGAGTCAGTACAGCTTAGAACATATCATTTCAGTGGATTATGGTTCAGTTATGTTCCCTGACTAAAGGTACTGAGATGGACCCTTGAGGGTCCCACCCCAGAGACAAGAGGGGTACCGCCCCAGTGACAGTTTAGTACCTATATTTCTGAGAGTGTTGGGCCTGATGTACTGAGCTTTTATGCCAATTTTCTCCCCTGTATCTTGCTTCACGCTGATGCTACATCATTATAGTGGGAATGACCCTTGTGGTCACACATACATTTGGCCCACAATGTCATTAATACAAAGCACCACTTCTATAAAGCACCAAAAGCCATTGGTGCAAACAGCACCCCCTTGTGGAGAAACGTCAACCTGCTAAACGTGAGTGAACGAGTGAGTTACACGCCATGAAGTGCTTCACATCTAAAAACTGGACATACAGACAAACAAAAGTAACAACAAGTGAAACTTTATCTATTGAGCCACAACTAAGAGTTTCTGTCTTTTGCTCCAGTCCAGCTGTTCCAGAAAACAGCTCCTAAAAACGAGCTCAAGCTGTCTTTTATATTTCCAAGCACACAAACAGTCCCTCTCATTTCCTCTCCGTCGTCCTCGGCAACAGCAGACGTTTCTGTGGTAACAGCTATTGCCAGCCAGCTGACCTCTGAGTGTGCCAGGCAGTTACTCATAACATGCTCTGACCACTACATCCCACTGCAGCAAACGTGTACTTATCTTCTTTCCAGCCTGACGCCAGACAGTCCAGCAGTGGCCACTGACCTAGAGATCAAAGGTCAAACCAACAAACCGCTACCCTTCACCCTCTTTCCTCTTCCATCATCTCTCCGTTAGTAAACATCACTGATCCTGGACCACTTTACTATAATAATAGTGAGAATCGATTCACCAAACCATGCAGCTTTCACACTAAAGCCTTTCTGAGGCCTCATATACAGAGTGGTGCTAGACAGTTTATGGATGTGTGTGTCAATCATCTGCATCTCGCTTGTAATTGGTAGATTCATGTATCTGTCTATGTTTTGCGTGAAACTGACCAATGGACACCCAGGAAATCGCTAAGGACTGACCCATCACATTTAAAACACTTCATTTTTGGTTCACTCACCTCAGAAACAGCATTGATGAGAACATTTATCTACTATTCTATTCATACATTCCACTAATTTTGTGAACCTAAGACTTAAACCCATTTTAACCTTTTGAACTCCTTGGGACCACCGGTGGTTCCAAAACGCTCTTCGTCATATCCTTCATAACTTTCATATTTCATAAGCTGCATTCTAAAGGTGGGGGTCGTATGAGAGCTGTAACTGTCTTCTTTCCAGTCAAATAGATGGGTGATGTAATTTTAAACACTTATAATAAAAGAAGTTGAACTCAACATTTGTTTTTCTACTGAAAGTCGACCCATTTTTCCTCAAATCTGGGCTATAAACTATAAACAGATGGCGTCTCTTCAGTGATCTGCTCTGGAAAAATTATTTTTGTAAAATAACACAAAGAGCGTCTAAGATTTTTGGCTTTCAGCAGTAAATTGTAAGCATATAGCAATATGTGTGATCATAAAACACATGTTCTGTTCATTTGAGGGGAGCTTTTACAAAAAATACATAAAAATAAAATAAAAATTTACATTTATTTCATGCAGTTACTGAATAATTTGCCTTACGATTCGGTCACGTTAATTCAGATGGAAAAACCAAAATATACCCAAAACAAGTCATCCATATGAGTAAAGCTATATTTTCATAATCGATATTAAGAATTCCTAAACCTGGATTACATTTTTTTGGCTTTTGGGCCCAATTATCTCTTTACACTGTGCTCCAGGTCAAAAGGACCTCGTTCCAGTGAGAGCTGAGACTGTTCTGAACATTTTGATATATAATATGTGGGTATCATGTCGTGTCCAAGTGCCTTTAAAGGCAAATTTAAGAATATATGCAAAAATTAGGAAAATGCCCTCAGACCCCAGAGAGTTGAAGGTCTTTGCTGGCCAAAGTACAGTAACTCAACTGAAGTCAGCAATGACTTCAACCTAATGCTTCCTGTAACCGTTGAACAGTCCTGAAACATCTGCTTGGAGGAATTTTGACCCATAATGACAAAAAACAGGCACAAATGTAAAGGATGCTTTTCCCTTTTTTGCAAAACATCTTCAAATCACAATAAAACATCTTCTCTTCTACTTATGAACACAAATATGGTATAAAAATGAAAGAATCAGCACTTCCCACACAATTTCTCTCCTACGAGTCAGATATGATTCATGTACTATGTAAGAAGGGGTGTTTTTAGCAGAGGGGAACTCTTGGGGTCTTCTAGGCTTTCAGAGAAGGCCTAATGATTCCTGGGAACTAAAAAAAAAAAAAAACAGCACTGCTTTTGTTACATTCAAGGCCTGGAGGAGTTAAATTCTTCCAACGTCCAGCACAAAATTGGCAAATCAAGAATTGTTTTTGTCCATGGTAGCTAAGTGAGCACTCCTATTGGTCAACCAGTGCACCATACAGCTCACAGCAGCACTATACCAGGGCTCTGTACTGAGACACAGTACGTGTATATATATACATATATATATATATATATATATATATATAAACGTGATCCACACCGTACAGATAACCAAGGCTTCAGACTATTGGCATCCGAGCCTTGACTGTAGCTCTTCTCGTTGTCCAGGCATGAACAAAGAGCACTGCCTTCACAATAAGAGTCCTTACAGAATAAACCCCATCAATAAATGCTGTAGAACAACTAGAACAACTACACATATAATAGCCACGGGTCGCCAAATCAAGCTGCCAAAAACGGTTCTTGGGAATGATGCCATAGAAAAAGCACATTTTTGGGCCCAATCCCATTTCACCCCTCGCCCCTACAACTTAGCCCTACCCCTCCGTTTTGCACGTTCATGTCTAGGGGTAGGGTGTCCTGATTGTTGTTGGTGAAGTGTTGGGGCTACATAACCCCCCAAACGGAGGTTTTTCAGAGACACTCCAAACAGAGAGTTACGAGAAAAAAGAAAAACCAGCAAGATGGCTGAACAAGAGACCAAAGAAACCCACAAGTGTGAGAATTTTCTCTGTTAAAAATGATGAAAAACACTGTATTATCTTAGTTTAATGTCATTTCAATGTATTACGGTCCTTAAATTTCCCATTACACCTCAAATGGAGATGTTACATTATGGTGCAGAATTGCTGCACCATTTAAGGTGGAACGGGAAAATTTGAACAAGAGTCTGACGAATAGCTTTATATCACCAAAGAACTAAGGGTGCCCCCCCCTTTAATGCTTTAAAGTCATATGATGTCCTAAATGTAACTAAAGCCCAGCAGTGAGGAGCTGAACTTTACCCTCCTCTGCTGTCACTGCAGACTGGCAGGGTCGCCTACAGAGCAGCGCTAGTAGCTGTTAATGAAGTGATGCTCTTTTTATTTGAGGGTCCCATTTCAGAGAGGAAGATTTGGGCCTTGGTTTCCTAAATGGGCTAGCTCCATCTTTCTGACCTATTACAACCATACATTCCTTCGCGGTCACTGAGGTCTGCTGACCAGTTCCTGTTCACTGTCCCTATATCAAGGTTGCAGCAGAGGGAAGATTGTGCCGTTCCAGTTATAGACCCCCAAACTCTGGAGTTGGTTGCCTGTGCATGTTAGGCTGGTCGCTACACTGCCTGTTTTTAAGTCCCGTCTCAAAACACATTTTTACTCTTTGGCTTTTGATTCAGTATGAGAGCTGCTTGTCTTTTGTGTTGTTGTTACATTGTTATTACATGTATTTTATTGTCTTTAAACTAAATTCTGTGTTTTATTGCCTGTTTTACAGGTTTCTGTTGTTTGTAAGTGTTCTCGACAATAAATCTGACATTCACATTGGCATTAAAGTACATTTCAATTGACAATTCTTTTAAAAAATCCAGGTTGAAACGACTAAGCTGAAAGGTTCTTTATGGAACCTGTGTAATCAATCTCTGGCATCACTCCAAAAAGCCCTGTTTTCAGCACCTTTATTTTTTAAGAAAGTGCACCAGTAGGTGACTCACTATCCACTTAACGCTGTCTCCTTCTCACTGAGGGCTCATTTGCATTTTGCATTCCTTCTCTGACTGGCAGTGAATGGCTGAACAGCA